CTTATTGTTTTTGTTTGTGCTATTGATTGTCATTAATTTATTTGTTCTTATTTTATTATTTACTATTTACTTGTTTTTTTTAGTTAAAATAAGGCCATGTCCACACGTACACATGTATTTTTATAAACTGAGTTTTTCCTTCTTCCGTTTAAAAAAAAAAATCTCCATCCACATGAAAACGCATGGTCCATGAGAAACAGTCCTGCTACCACAGCTGGAAAAAAATCCTAGAGGAAACACTGCATGCATTTAATGGGTCTGGCTGTGGAATGGGATTTGGCTGAGGAAAAATTCAGTCAAAATATTTTTTTTGCTTTAACCCCATAATTTTTGCACATCAGGGAGTGTCAATATGCGTATATCAATATGCGGGGTATTGAAATTGCATTTGAATAAGAGCTTGCTGTTAAATTTCACTTTCGATTTCGCGATATAGCGATATTTTAGAAATTTTATTTGAATATTGCCAGTACTGACTTCAATGGATTTCATTAAATTCCTTTGAACACAACTGCTCAAAACGGTCTAAATTTATGAAACCTACACATTCAAAACATTATTACTCTGAAATGTTTAATGTAAATGTTAAGTGTAAGTGAAATGTTAAGTAATGTAAGGTCTTTCATGACACTACATATGCTGGGGTGTGAATTTGATAGGTGCTTGATATAAAATAAATGGTGCTTCAAAAAGTCCTTGAAAGTCCTTGAATCTGGTGTTCATGAAAGAGTGGGAACCCTGCTTACATGTAAATAAAAATAACGTGAATTTGTGCATTTTTAAGTGTTTGAAAGACAAAAATTAGATGGTAATGCATGCTTAAATAACCCACTGAGTGATAATTCAAGTAAAATGTATGTGTTCATCAGTAGTTGATGAAATGTTCAAACACTTCTTAAACCTGAAGTGATCAAATGCTGTAGCCACCTGACTAATGACTGGTCTTTGGGTGAATGTCCACAAAACTGCAAGACTTTCTGACTGTATGTAAGCGGTAGCTATTTTAGAAAGGAAAATGTAAAAGATGAAATAGAGGAATTAGGGAGACTCAATAAATTGTAAATAAGATATTGCTAGTGTGTGTTATCATGTAATCAATAAAAAAAGTAACTGTAGTCTGATTACGAGTATATTAAAAGGTAATTTAATCTAATTACAAGTACTTAATTATTGTAATCTGATCACGTAATTCAGATGAAATGTAATGAGTTACTACACAGCTCTCTCTCCCTTTCTCTCTCTCTCTCTCTCTCTCTTTCTCTCTCTCTCTCTATATATATATACATATATATATATATATATATAATTCATATATAATTCTTTTTTTTTATATATATCTGAAAGTACACTATTAACGTCAGTCAGTCAAGCAATATAATATATGATATTATGATAATCAATAATTATTTAATAATGGAACTTTTAATGATAGAATAGTAATTAACCATTATAGGAATGCATATTTGTCATTTTAACTGAACTTGGGACTGGTGGTGGTGCTTAAGACATTTTTGGTCATTCAGTGTTTCTGTAAAAAAAGGGGGGAAAAACCTAACAATAATACTACTAAGATAATAATAATGATAATAATGGTAAAAATTCTACTACTAATAACAATATAAAACCCACCAAGGATTAATTATCTGCTGGGTTTATAAATATTAATCACATCTGCGTTCGCTCGAACTGATTTGGTGAAATCAAAACAGGGACGATAATTGCTGTTTGCAATCTCATAATCTTTGTAAGTAATAATGTTTTTGTAATTTTTTTTTTAATTTTTTTTTTTTTAATGAATATAGTCTTCAATTATGGATCCCTGCACATGACATACAGAAAAAAAAAATAGATATCGTAACCACAAATTAAGAATGAATTCCCACAACTTGTTAATTTGTGTCCACGTTTTATTAATTTTTCCCCTCACTTTTCAAGAAAACACTACACAACTTTTAAAATCTGAACAGATTTGCTCCAAACACAGCAAACTGATGCAGAAATGTGCACTTCGTTGCTAGGAGATGCATGACAAATGAAAACAATATGTGTTCTAAAATTGGCACAAAATACCATACATATTTGATACTCTCTGACTGGATGCAATCATAGCCTGAGGCTAGAAAATCAAGAGTATGAGATACGCAAAATCAGTCAAAATCTGCACACTGGCTCTGACTTTTGGCAACTAGCATTGACTCTTCCAGACTGTAAATAGAAAGAAAATTCTAGGCAAAATTTGTTATATTCCAGGCTTAAAACAAAATAGAACCATGCAGTCGAAATTTACCTAAAACAAGGAAACTAATTCTTAAATTATGACCATGATATCTTGCTACACCCAGCATGTCATGTGTTTGTAAATCCATACATTTTTAATCATGGATATAGCATTAAAAAATATAAAAGAAAAACAGCTTTGTTCCCATCAAGTCCGGCCCTGTTAATAATATTCATTCACCATTTCCTTTTACACCTACAGCTTTTCCAGATAATGGATTGTACATGCATTTCCTTGTCAAGAGTTGGCTTAGTGCTCTCTATGTAAATACTTCACTACTCTGTAATATGAGCGTTACAACAAATAAATTAGAAGTAAACAGGGTGTTTGTCTGATCAGCAAGCATTTTCAAAGTCCTGTAATAATGGAACCAGTGTTAGACATTAAAACATCTCCTGCTGGAATAAGTAGATTTTAATTGTCAGATCTTACTGCAATTTGTGATGTGGTCACTTTACAGACTTAATCTCTAGAAGGCAGATTAATTTAATTTTGTGATATATTAGACAAGCACTCAGGCCTTGTCTGCCATATTCCTAACTACAGTGTTTTGTCTCTATTATCCCTGTCTCTCCTGCAGGGTGGAACTGTCAACGGATCAAGTAGTCAAGCCAGTGAATACAGAGGCTCTGTCTAAATGGGTGGGCAAGATCCCTGGTGATGTGGTGAATGATATGGCCAGCATTGCTCCGATGTTAAGTCGCTTAGGTTATGACCCTCTTGCCAACCCACCAAACTACAGCAAGCCTGATCTCTTATTTCTGAACAACACAAACATAGTGAGGTCAATCCAAAACTGAAAGATCCTCTCAAACTGTGAAAACTTTGAAGCAATAAACAATGTGCATTTATGAGCACGTAAAGCCTTTACTTGAATTAACAACTTCAGCAGTTTTGTTGGAAAAGAAATTCAGCTTATATAGGACCATTGTTGCTTGTGGCAACAGTTTCATACAGTGATAGTTTTATTGTTGTATTGTAAAGTCATTTTTCAATTAAATTTGATTTAGATGTTTTGTTACTTGTATGCTTTGGTGTTGCTAATTATGTCAGTCCACTGACTGTACTTTATTGTCTTTTGATTACTTTTATATGTGTAAATGCATGCGTGTTGTGGTAGATGTGTCATAATGAGTGACTATTACACAGGAAACTATGATTGTTGAAAGAGGAAGTCAACAGTTGCACAAAATGACCACTTTTTGCTTTGTTCTCCTTGACTACAAGTGAAGTTTAGACATGTTTTTTTTTTTAAGTTTAGCTTTCAAAGACAATCTCATTTCATTGTAGACCGTTTATTGTGAATTTATTAATTGCATACTTCACAAATGTAGTCCAAATATGAAGGACTTCGGACATGGTCACTGCTGTGGATGAACTCTCAGTCCTCAACATTCCTTCACATACCTTCACGTCCAGTATCATTAGACCAGTCTGTCTCATTGCATGAAATTACATATACCTTTTGTTACAGAAAAAAAACATATATTTATTAAATGTTGGTTATTTCTAAAGAAACCCTGTGTGTGAATATATGTGTGAGATACTCAGATTATTATGTGGTGTAATCAAAACGAAGTTAGAGGACAATAAAAAAAATATTTTCGATTGCCTTTTGAATTGAGTTGAATTGCCATTGCATGACAAGTGAAAAAAACTCAACTGACCCCGACGTGATTTGAACACGCAACCTTCTGATCTGGAGTCAGACGCGCTACCGTTGCGCCACGAGGTCTTATAATAGCGAAACTAGAATGATTTATTTGTCTTGGTTTAGTTTAGTTTTGGGTTATCACCACTCAAAAATAATAAACTCGTCAGTGGCATTTCTCTGATAGCTTAGCATAACAGGGTTACGTGGACAAAACGTGCAAAACTTCGCGCCACGTAAATTAGTCCGTGCGTTTGGATGTTATTGAAATGTATCTTGGAATCGCAAAACATTTTTTTCTTAATCTCGAAAAAAACGTTAACGTCAATTAACGTTAGGCTTCCGTGTACACTAATGCTGTTTCCTGAAAATGTACATTAAAGTGTATATCATTTAAAGGGGTAACTTCTATATGATTTTAGTTGGTAAAACCTGCTTCTTTATAAGTAAACAAATAAAAATAGCAATCGATAAATAAACGCGTCTTTTTTTTTTTAATCCTACTAAATCAGAGAATAAAATACTATTTGTATCTAAACTTACATTACTCTTACTGTTCCATTAAGCACCATGTCCCTGGTGGTCTAGTGGTTAGGATTCGGCGCTCTCACCGCCGCGGCCCGGGTTCGATTCCCGGCCAGGGAATATTGTGTTTTTGTTGCGATATGTTAATATTATGTATTAATTATTAATAATATAAATATTATATATATATTCACTGATTTCTGTCATTTGAAAATATACATCCTTTATATTTAGACCACATTTGTCAAAAATAAGTATGCACGTACATAATTATTTGGTGATCCACTGTACACTTTAAAATACATTTAAATGAAATGCCATAGATAATATGTTACTACAGCACATACGTCGCCACTTCAGAATAGACCTACACCAAAAATACCAATAACCATAAGCACCAAATACATCCGGAAGACAGCGCGACTAGCCCACTCACACACGCGATTGGCTGAGGAGAGATAAAGTGATAAACTGCGTGCCATGAGTACGCTCCACTCACATCTTCAGTGAAAATACTGGGAAGGTAAGTTAATGCACTTGCACTTGCACTTTCATTGTCTTTCGTGTTGTTTTTTTGACCGAACGTATCATGTTACCGCTACCAGATATAGTTTGAAAAATAATGCACCGATGAGAAGAAAAGCACTAAAATTTGTAATAATCCAATGAGATCTTGTTTTCTGGTGTGTATGTGTAGCTATTAAATTCGGTGGTTTCAAATAACGTTTAAACATTTAAAATGTGTGAATTATTTCGTTGTGATGTTGCTTTAGTTTTCAGATGTAAAGTAGTTGTGTGTTTTGTCAAATGATAGGCTATAGCATTTACAATTCAAATATGGAATGTCGTTTTTGTCACTTCTATATGCAAACATTTGCAAATAACGACCATAAGAGTGTTAACATTTTCTAAAGGTCACAATGAGGGATTAAAAAGAAAGGAGAAAATACCAAAACATATAGCATATAGAGAAACGAGAAAATGTAGATGTATTAATGTAATGTAGGATATATACAAGTAAATAGTAAATATATGCTACACTCTGGGGTTTTGATTCTTGCACTTGCATGAACGATTATGGAACAAATACCTGCTGTTTTGGAAAATTCAGTGAAGTATCTCTTTATTTTCTAGTTGGCAATGGATTTAACATGCTATCAGTTGATAACATTTGAATATTCCTTGTACCTCCACAAAAATAATTTTCCTATTGTTTTATATTCACGCCTCTGCCTTTGCTTTCCAATTTGTTTGTTTGCTTCTTCATTTGCACATTGTTTTGCCATGTCCCTTTCCAGTTTTTAGCTAAAATGGGCTGCCATGCCATGCACTCTTTTCAGCGGTCTTGTGAGTGTGTGGCTGTTTCCAGTTCACAATATGATTTTCATTTATAGGCCACTCCTATTAATACTTGGGAACTCTAGGTTGAGAAATGGACGGCTTTCATGTGACCATTCGAACCTCAGCATCACCTCCGCTGTCAGGAACGTATGGCAGGGTTTGGATCTCTTTGATTGGTACTCTGTGTGAGAGTCCTCCAGTCAGAGTGGAGCACTTTCTCTTGCCAGGCTCAGTAAGACAATCACCTATTTTGAAAAGACATCACATGACTCTGAACACAGATGAAATTAAGTAATTGAACAGTTTTTACAGGTTTAATAGTTTCTAAATAAAAATGCAATCGTAAGAACAGAAGCCCATACAGTTTTAAAAATTAACTTTTTATTAAGGAACAATATTTGTCTTTTAAAGGGGTCATCGCAGCACATTTTATGGAGGACTGTTTCCTGATCCTTGTAGAGTAGACTACAATGCCGGCTGTTCTGACTCACAGACTGTACTGTAAGTAGGTTTTTTATATTTAAAGAATCTGCCACTGACGATTCAAACGCGAGTTTTGAGCAGTGTAGAGTAGCGCTTGTTGTTTGTCATTTCTCCGATCACAAATGCAGACATGGTTTTATGTTTACGCGGCGTGATGCAACGCAACGCGTAAAAAGACAGTATAAGTCATTATAATCCGAAATTATGTCCCCACTGGATGCAACAAATGACTATAAACACATTGCATTACACCAAATACACAAAATAATGTTCTTTTTAGCAACGTCATATGACCCCTTTAATTTATAAAGGTATATTTTTTGAACCACATTAAAAAGCAGGGTTGTGCCTATTTGTGTCAAAAACTAATTAATCATAAATAATAAATACAAAAGCAGTTGTAAATAACGCACAAGATATCATAACACAATATACATGAAATCAATTTGACTATGTTAGATTATGTACACCACCGTTCAATAGTTTTATAAGAAACTAAGATTTTTTTTCTTTATTTTTAAAATAAAAACAGTAACAATGTAAAATACTATTTAAAATACAATTTAAATTAAAAAATATATATTTTATGTTTATTTTAAAATATAATTTATTCCTGTGATGGCAAAGCTACATTTTCAGCATCATTACTCCAGGCTTCAATGTCACATGATCCTTCAGAAATCATTTTAATATGCTGATCTGCTGCTCAAGAAACATTTTTTATTATCATCAATATTCAAAACAGTTGTGCTGCTTAATATTTTTGTGGAAACCATGATACATTATTTTTTTCTAATATTTTTGTTGAAAATAAAGTTCAAAAGGACAGCATTTATTTGTAACATCATAAATGTCACTGTCACTTTTGACCAATTTAACGCGTCCTTAAAAAAGTGTTTTGTCAAAACATATTACCCTTGAACAGTAGCGTACTTTACATAGACAATGTGTCACAATGTTCAGCAAGCACTTAACAACATTACACCCTTTAACCAATGCACTTATACGCACACACAGAGAGAGAGAGAGGAGAAAACAACTTCATTTTATTCACTGCATTTCTCTTTCTCTCTATCTTGCTTTCTATAATCGGAACAGCATACAGCCTCTAACATCTACAGGACACTATAGTGTCTGCTGAGGCACTTTAACCTATTCTAAACCTGCCTAGGATATAATATATCAAATGACTGTTAGATAACAGAGAAACAGTCATTCACTATGTCAGCATTGACCATGACCCCATCTTGCAGGTACACATGCAAATGTGTTGTTTTTCTTTTTGGGACAGGCCTATACAGTTGTCATCAAGCCTAAAGAGGAAGTTGGCATAGTGGTTCTGTTAAGACTCCGTCTTGAGGCTCAGCCTGGCTTTCCGGACCTGGATTGGCACTGTCATGATGTGCAGGTGAGACGGAGTTCTGAGGACCCTGAGGTGGAGGTTTTTCCTTGTCATAAATGGATCCGGACAGCAGATGGTTACATCGAGCTTCGGAATGAGAAAGGTGAGCTGTTTCTGTTTTCACCATTCTTTCACGCTTGTTAATTAGGTAATAATATCCTTTTTATTTCCTGGACTTCATATCAAAATTTTGTGATGTTTCCCTTCTCTAGCATGTCTGAAAAAGAAAGAAACATTAGATATCCTAATCAATCACAGAGAGAGGGATCTCCAACATAAACAACAGTTTATGAGGTGAAACCTGACTTTTTACTCATTCAAATTTTTTTTTTTACTAATTTTTACTCCTATCGAATCCATTAGTTTTATTATTTTTCTTCTTCTTCTTCTTTTACTCTGAAAGTCTATGGCAGCCCATAGAACTGCTTGCGGGAAAGTTATGAAATAAAAAAAATTAAAAAAAGAAAGTAAAATCTACTTATTCAAACTTGTCCTAGACGGTTTGTCCAATTTTCACCAAAATTGGGTTAGATCATCTTCAGAGCATTCTGGCAAAAAATAATGAAAAGCTTTTTGATATGCCAAACTGGTTTCATAAAGCATGTTAACGAATTTGAAGTTTGTGCAAAAATGGATATGAGGCTGTATCTCCGCAAAGACTTAGTGGATTCTGACCAAACTTGGTATGTGTTGCGACGCATCGGCGGTTCTCTCAGATCACGTCTTTGATCATTCACACTGCGTGACTGTCACCCGTGTGAATGAGCACCGATTTTGGGCATTTGTCAGCGATTTCACAAAACCTGTCGGCGAGTGAAAATCAGGGCTAAAATCGTGCAGTGCGAACTCGCCATAAGTTTATGCAACTGGCCCCTGAGCACTTTGGCCAAAAATTATAAAATGATTATATTTGGTATGGCATACTGAATCGAATGCTACTTAATTTTGGGGTGTTGGCCATTTTAAGTTGATAGTAAAATGCTGTGTCAACAAATGTCTTTAACAGGGGTCTCCACCCCTGCTCCTGGAGATCTACCATACTGCAGAGTTCAGCTTCAGGCCTAATCACATAAACCTGAACCAGATAATCAAGGTGTTCAGTGCTACTTAATTACAGACAGGTGTGTTGAAGCAGGGTTGAAACTTAAGTCTGCAGGAAGGTATAGCTCTCCAGGAGCAG